TTTGTGTGTTCTCCAACACAACTCTCACAACGCTTCTCTGAACGTACTCGCTCTCCCAACGGGAGAGCTCACCTAACAGGGGCCGTGGTCTAAGGCAGTATTTCCCAAACCTGTTCTTCCATTACCACAAAACACTGATCACAAAGTCTTGTCAAACTTCAAAAAACAGTCACTGTCCCAAAGGTGCTTTTTTTCCCCCAAGAGGCAACAGGACTTTCTGGTTTTTCTTCGAAGATGTTTTGCTTCTCATCCAAGAAGCTTCTTCAGCTCTGACTGGATGGTGGGGAATGGAAGGATTTATATTTGCAGATAGCTGGTCATTTGCAACCTTTTAGAGAGTCGTTATAACAGCTCATTCAAAGAATGCAAAAGACCAGCTGTCTGCAAGCAATATAAATCCTTCCCTTCCTCACCCTCCAGTCAGAGCTGAGGAAGCTTCTTGGATGAGAAGCGAAACCTCTTCAAAGAAAAACTTTGGCTGGGGAATTCTGGGAGTTGAAGTCCACAAGGCTTAAAAGTCACCAAGGTTGAGAAACACTGGCCTAAGTGCTATCGCTATTAAGAGGAGCCAGCATCTCACCTAAGGGTGGGTATTGGGAGAAGCTCTCAACACACATAGGTTTGCCAGGGATCATCTCCACAATCGCAGCGTCTCCAGATTTCAACGATTTGGGATTGTCTTCCAGCTTCTTGCCAGAACGTCGGTCGATCTTCTCCTTAAGCTCGGCGAATTTGCAAGCAATGTGGGCGGTGTGGCAGTCAATGACGGGAGAATAGCCAGCGCTGATCTGTCCAGGGTGGTTCAAAATGATCACCTGTTTGCCAAAAAGAAAAAAAGAAATGACCAAATTAGCCTGGATCATGGTCATGTGACGCTTAAATGACTGTGTTCTCCTGCATTCTTGGATCTATTTATTTCTTTTATCCTTCATTTGTGCTATTGTTCCGTTTTCTCGAGCCGAGGTGGCGCAGAGCCGAGGTGGCGCAGTGGTTAGGGTGCAGTACTGCAGGCCACTTCAGCTGACTGTTATCTGCAGTTCTGCGGTTCTAATCTCACCGGCTCAAGGTTGACTCAGCCTTCCATCCTTCCTAGGTG